AACAAGACAATAAACACCAGAACGTCGCTGGAGACAGACCAGAACTTGGCTGGAGATCCTGTCTAGGCTGCTGATCAACTGAATGCTGTCTCCATGTCATTCCTTCTTCGCTGACTCCGTCCACACCTTTGGGGACCCCTGGACCTGCTGGGGTTGGACCCCAACAAACCTGCATTTTAACAAGCATCCTACAGATTCTAATGTGAGATTCAGTTTGAAAAGCATGGAAACCGTCTATGCTCAAATCCCAGCAAATAGAGGAACAAGGCCAATTAAATTTCAACCTGCACGGGCCTGTTCGACAATTACACCCCCTCGAACATGACTTTCCTCTGGCCTCTGGTTGCTCAGAGGCCCTCTGCCCACCAGAGTTGAGAAGCATCGCTGAGATGTTTGGCTGTGTCTTCTAGCAGATTGCCCTTCCCCGCACTTGTCATTCCTGCAGGCTGCTGAGCAGGTGTCGATGAGGATGTTATAACCTGCCTGGCAGCTTGTTGGAGCTGATGTCCCAATCCCCTGGGCCTCCCACTCCCTGTGATTCATCATAGCTAGAGCTGTTCATATTCATATGAATTATGGGGGGGAGGGGGATTTTGTGTGTTTCATGAAGCTCTACTGTTTGAACTTAGATTTCTGTGAAGCCAAGACAAGAAAGTGATTATTTCCTAAATCATGCTGTACATGGAACAGAATTTAGAAATATGTGGTACAGCTAAATATCTTTCTAGTTAATATTATAAAATCATGGGATAATATTTATTTATATCATCATATTAAGAAACAAAATACCTGCCTTATTTACTCTTTTAGCATACCAGTGCCATTAAATAAAACAAAAAAAAGAAAACAAGATAAAACTGGTAATTGTTGTCATATGGAATATGCATATTCAATCATTCAAGATAATTAGTCATGTGAATAAACATTGAAATCTCTACTTGCTAGAGTATAATCTTGAAATGGTAAAATCATACTCTTGCCCAAATATAAAACGAGCCAGTGTCAGAGACTTCATTTAACTCATTAATTAGTGAAGGAGCCAATAAGAGTAAAGATGAATTAAATATTTACATATCATTTAATAAAGAAATATTATATTAAGAGTGCAGGGCTGTATACAAAACTAATTACTGTCCTACAGACTGTAACCTTTGGGGTTATAATTTCCACTGAACAGAAATTGTTTGCATCTCTACCAAACAAAGATCTATCAGCTGTCACTTCACTCAATCTGAGACCTTTAATCTAGAGTAAACAGTGAGTTGAACAAAGTACTTTGCCTTTATAATCCTTTGCCCCCATATGACCTTGAAATATTTTTGTCATATATCCAAGTTTTATATAATTCTTCATAACACACTTGTAGAAATCTATTTTTGTTAATGTCACCATAATTTTTTTAATCCTCACCGAGGATATATTTTTTAAATTGATTTTTAGAGAGAGAGGAAGGGCCTGATTTGTTGTTCCACTTATTTAGGAAAGAGGGAGAAACATCAATTGGTTGCCTCCCATACACCATCACCCCCTCTCCCCCCCAAACCCACCCCCCGCCAGACCAGGGATCAAACCCACAACCTAGGTATGTGCCCTGACCAGGGATCAAACCCGCAATCTTTTGGTGCAGCTCCAACCAACTGAGCTTCCCGGCCAGAGCATGTCACCATGTTTTTTAATGAAGGTTTAAATATGCTCGGTCTCCAAGCAGGCATTCATTCTCAAATCGCAGAAGGTGAAAGCTGGCATGCTTTTCTAACTCGTATAGTTACTCCAGAGCTTCAGTGAGTTTTCAAAAAGTCTTTTTCAAAGCTTTCTTGTTATCACTATAGATGGCCATGCCTAGTGATCCCGAGCCCTAGATTTGTGCTCAGCTATCTGAGGTGGTTCAGAGAAGTCGTGACACGAAGGGAGGGGCACAGGGACAGGTCCACGTATAGCCATGAGTATCAGGCAATTCTGCTGCTCACGCTCACACCACGTGCTTCCTGCTCCTGACTGACCCTGTGGACATCAGTGTGTTTCAATAGGAAATTAGCCCTAGCTGGTTTGCTCACTGGATGGAGCGTCGACCTGGGGACTGAAGGGTCCCAGGCTCGATTCCGGTCAAGGGCATGTACCTTGGTTGCAGGCACATCCCCAGTAGGGAGTGTGCAGGAGGAAACTGGTCGATGCTTCTCTCTCATCGATATTTCTAACTCTCTATCCCTCTCCCTTCCTCTCTGTAAAAAATCAATAAAATATATATTAAAAAAATAGGAAATTAATATTTTTGAACATAGGCATTCACTCTTTCTCTCCTATACATATGCTAATTATGTGACCTGTATGTTTCTCTCTGCAATCATTTATATTCATTTTCAAGAACAATGCTCCCATCTTGCCATTTGGCTTCTATTGAATCTCATCTGCATTATTCTCAGAAATTCAATTAATGGTGAGCTGGAATGGAAAAGAGTATTGGAGTGTGTCAACTAGGAAACATTGACTGGTCTATAACTTCAAATTATTTTCTAGAATAATTACAGTGTTTGGGGGTGGGGGTTTTTTGGTGTTTTGGGGGGGCGTGGTTTGTTGTTGTTTTAATGTCAGGGTCTGCTTGAATTCAGAGCTCTCACTGCATCTACACAGAAGCAGGTCCTGGCTTTTACTTCCCTCCTGGCTTCAGCCGCTCCGTAAAGGCAGCCAAGGGCAGAGAGAGCCCTTCACGTTCTCAGCAGGGGGCCGAGCAGAGGGGAAGATGCCCAAATCATAGAGTTTTCAGCATAAATAGTTCCAAGGTCTGAATGCATTCTTTCCTAACAATTGAATGAATGGGTTGGTTCGGGGCCCCTTCT